AAACAAGACTGCTGGCTGAGTGCCTGCTGAGATGAGTGGAGCTCATATTAATTAGTGGGCTTGAAAGACAATATGGGGAGCTTCAGTGTTGCAAGTTATTGACATAACTCTACTGCGGATTGCAAACTTTTTGATTTGATTGTGACAACATGTCTTGAAAACTTGCAAGCCTGAGAGCAAATCGGCCCTGTTGTGATGGTAACTTTTGAAAAACTACATATGATTTGTAATTACGCCGCTGCATTTTTTTTTTTTTTTTTGGTATTCCTCGACAGATCTGTAATTTAAGTCAGCTAAATTTGGCAAACTACTTTCGAATAGTGGACTTTAACTCACAGTAACAACTCCAATATTGGCAAGGAACTTAACAACGAAAGGAGCATTAGAAATAGATGAACTCTGGGTAACTTCTCCCAAGGATCAATATCCATTCATCAGGTGCCTGTAGCTATAAAGATGAAATACAGCATTACAAAAAAAATATATTTTTACAGACAGTGTTACACTAAACGTCCTCAGGCTTTTCCAAGGCAAAGGGAATAATGCAGCCTAAACCTGTCTGAAGCGAAACAAAAAACATTAAATCAGAGATTTGGATGAAAAAATGAACAATCCCTACCTACAGGTACACTGAGCACATTAATAGAAATGTACCAAGTTGCACCTGGGAGTGTGGTGTGTTTATCTAAAGCTGATAGTTATCGGAATTGAGACTTTGGTGCCACTTAACCAACAAAAATATTTTACTGTGCCAACTGCTGAAAAACAACATGATGTCCTGGTAATGATTATAGGAATGAGAGACGGCCATAGATGATAAGCAGTGAAATTAAATGTTTGTCTTGGGCAATTGCTTGACTGAAAAACATGTGTGTGATTATGAGTTGGCACGGTACCACATGTAGGGAACAATCTACTTCAAATCCACATGGATGAAGGATCAATTCAAAATGAAACACAAAGACTCAGTCAAGAGATCGGGTCACATTTCTTAAATAATTTAATTGCAAAAGGGTCTTTTAAAAATATTTCTACAAGAATGCATCATCATTTTTAGTAATTTGCTGTGTATGTCTGCACCATTAAATACATCTCAATGCTTTTCAAAGAGGAATTAACAATTGCATTTCTCTGCGCTTTATTCCGATCACTACACATGTACAGTACTCTCTGAAACATCTCGCTTCCTTGTACGAAGAGGGAGTTTTCAAAAGTGACCAAGACAGATTTGCCGTGAGCTTGTTGTAAGACTAAAAGAAAGGACAGAACCGCGTATATTTATTTAAAACAGACAACTGAAGAAAAGAAAGTTAGAAAGTTGCAAGTAAAAGGGCTTTGAGGGAGGGCGAGTGTGTGTGTTTGATGATCTGTCGAGGATGTAAAATAGGGGAAAGAAAGATGGAAGGAATGTTGGGATAGTTTGAATTCTATTGGCACACAAAGAGATAACCACATCTGACAAAGCCTAGTCTCTGCTGATCAAAAAATGTTTTCTGTATAAAATGGCAATCGTTTTACTCCAAACACATACACACACACACAGGGACACACACACACATTCACACAAACACAACAGTCCATCTTCATTTCAGCAACTTGCAGTCAGGAAGATGAACAAATAAAAAAAAAACAAACACATGAGAGCGAGAGCTTTTCCTCTGTGTGTATGTTAAATATTAAACACTCCCAAGAATGTGTGAAAAATCCACTTAATGATTAATTGTTTGCAGTTGATGTGTCGGCAGTTTAATCATTTTAAGATGTGCAACAGTGCCAGTTGAGCTCATCTCTCACGGCTGGTTGACTTCAGTGAACACAACTCCAGATCCCGGCACACCATGTGCACCTCATCAATACTTCATGCAAACTCCAAAGCACTGCCATTTTTCATGAGTGGGTATGTCTGCCATCTGATTGTGTTTAGCACCGATGTGCCCCCCCCCCTCCTGCCCCCACACCTCACCCCAACCCCCCCACCCTATTGACTGTGTCTTGTTTGGTGCCACATGCGTGTTTGCAACAGTGGGGCTTAGCTGATTGAATGATTGAGCTGAGTGGAGGAAGAGGGAGTGATGTTGTATATTCCTGAGAGACTTTGAGTGAAAGTGAGCTTCTGATTGCATTAATTCTGCTCTTCTGCCATCTCCAAATGTGTACACTCCATCACTCTCCTTCAATCAAAATGTTGTTTTGCTTTGTGAAAAACAAAACAATTCCTCAGAAATGATATCAAGAAAAAAAATAAATAAATAAAATAAAATAAAATAAAATGTTTGCTCATCTAACAGGCACTTTGAGCACATTCTCATCATCATGGTAGTGTATCTTGTTGATGGTACCGGCTCTGCTGATTCTGAGCCATCATATCAGAAATCAGAACTGACACTGATGAAAACAATTGAAAATTTTGAGACTTATTTCCTGTATAGTGTGAGTACACAACTGTTAAAACTACTTTTCGATTGTGTAGTACAACTGTTATTGGTTACTAAGCCTTTTAAAGAGTGTACTAGCGGCAGTGAAAACATCTGTACGTGGAATAAGATGAAACAATAGAAAATGTGGAACACATTGCTGTTTTGCATAATATTCTGCATGGCTTTTGAAGGGTCTTAAGCGTGGCTGAAAAAAGTAATATGGCAAGACACACTGCAACATCACGCTATCATTACACACCAAGCTAATAATAGTCACATTTTGCATTGATCAGGACCCAACCCAAACAATTTGGAGACAGGAAGATCATACCAGTGATGCAGCCCCATCCCTTAATCCGCTACCTTCAAACACCCCTCTGTCACAAGCGCAAATAGTATGGTCTCCTTGATGCAGCTGCTATCATTTAGGATGAGGAGGGGGTTGTGGGTGGGGGGGGTGGCCTGCAGATTTTGGCTGTCTGCGTGCCAGGGCTGTTGATCCTGCACTGTACTAATCATGCAGCAGCCTGAGACAGGATGATTGCAGGCCAGACAGGAAATGAAGAGAGATAATGATAGGTCAGCTCACCGTATGTCTACGCTCGCTGCATGCTGTATGCCCGCAATGCCAGATTGGCTGCTGCATTAATCGACCTGACAGACAAAGACCAATAGGTTTCTCTTCTGACAGCTCTGGATTCTCTGATGAGATCTCGTTGCAGAGGGGCAAACTGCAGGTCTTGTGACGGAGCTCCGCCTCTGGGACAATTGAAATGATTGGCAGGTAGGCTGCATCATCTCTGTACCTTTCCCCTAATGACTCTTTAACCGTCCCACATTAGATGGGTCGGGAGGATCCTATTGTTGGAGGTGTTGGCAAATAAGTACAATTAAACCACAGAGATACATCATAGTGGTCTGCGGGGGGTTTTGAATTGAAAACAATGTGCCTGGAAGACAATTAGTTACAGCTCAGGTTCACAAATGCTCTTTATGTTGAGATTGAGGATGGATTGGGGGAAGATTAACATCCAGTTCAGGCGGCACACACAAACTTGAACACACCTACACAGACACTAACACTACGATGGATGGAGAGCAAAAGGGCAACATGTTATAATCAGCTCTCTAACCATGGGGTTATCTCCTCCTCTCTCAGTCCTGACCCCCCCCCCCACCCATGTCTCTCTCTTCCTCCTTTTTCTTTCTGTTCATTTCACTCCGAATCATTTCACAACGACACTTCCATTTAGTCAAAACACCATTTTTCTTTTGTTATTTATCGTATTTTTGTTACAAAACATGTACAGGCTGTTTAGAACAACAACAAAAATACAATATCCAATTTATATGCAATTTCTTTTGTTTAATAGTCATCAATTCATTAGGTGAATCCTCTTGGAGTTTCTCTTCCTTCTGATTGTTCCAAGTCCACTGTCCCAAATGGCCTACAGTCCATCTGAGTGTTGGTGGGCGGGGGCGGGGGGGTTTGGCGGGCGAGGTACAAATAAATACATAGGGCAGGATGTCAAGAAATAAAAACAAGAATTTTGATTATTTCTAAATCCAGATAATAGTTAAGTAGAAAGTAAGGTGTCCATCATGGTTTCTCTCATTTTCTGCATGATGCATATATATATAATTTTATATATATATATGTGTGTATGTCCCAAGTTCATTGTTTTGGATTCAATAAAAAAGAATGTTTAACAGTTGTCCACAGAATATAGCGTAATTGTTTCAGATATATTTGCTCCTTGTCACGGTTCAGTTCATGCGTTAATTCTCCACAGTGGCAAATAGCGGAAGCCATACTGTACAGTATACTTGTGTGCAACCTGACACATCCGCACATCCACGCACACTGAATCACACACACACACACACACACACACACACACACACACACACACACACACACACATACACACACACACACACACACAGACACACACACATACAAAAACGCACACAAAAGGCCAAGTGGTCTTTCTATAGTGTTGCCACAGTCCATGTCTCCCCTTAATCACATAAAGTGTCCAGTGGGGTTACTCAGGATTGGCCGGCCATTTTTAAACCTCAAATCTCCCAAAAAATTTGTAAGAAAGCCAAAGAAAAAAAAAAAAAAAACGGGGGAAAAAAGAAAAAATGTAGTGTGGACAAACAAAAATAAAACATTTTTATGTGTAAAAACACACTTGATGAGCAGGTGATCCCAAGCTGTGGAACTATCCTAAGTCATTTCAGGTCAAAGTGAAGAGGTCATCTGGTGACCTCCTGAGGATTCAGCAGCCAAAACAAATGTCCAAAAATGTGGCTGCACTACTTTGACCTTCTTGACCTATGTCATGCTCTTAACCTTTGACCTCAGCCCGTCATATTTCCTCCTCCACCACCTCACCCGTCTTCAGCAAGTGCCCTTTTAGATAACACACCTTCAATATGAAGATGGAGAACAACACATGTGCACAGTAAAACAACTTCTATCAGGGAAAGAATTGTCCTCTATCTCCTGTGGGTCCAGAACACCAATGTTTTTGTCTAGTTTTTTTTCTTTTTTTATGTGTGTGAACATTTGTTCACTTTTTTTTTTTTTTTTTTATACCCAGGGTGTTCGTACTTTTACTATATATTATGTCCATCAGAGCTGGGCCGAGGGGTCAAAGGGAAGGGCTCTTGCGTGAGGATCAGTGATCAGACGTTTCAGTTACAGGGCTAAGGCCAACCTTACTAAAACACACATGCATGCAAACGTCAACCCACACCAGAGCTGGTGAGGCACGCATGGGATATAAGGGGGTTAACTCTTTCTCCTCCTTCAAAAACACACAAATTCTGATTGGATGGAAAAAGAAACAATGACGAATAACAAAAAAAGCAGAAACAGGAAATGGAAGTGGTAATGAAATAAAGAAAAAAAAATATTCAGAGGCACCACAAGCCAGTTTCATAGCGTCTAAGTGGCAGAGATGGGTCAGGCAGCTAGGGTTTTCCAATGGCTCTCTCTGGCACAGTTCCTCCCCCCTTTTCCTGTCTGGCTGTCCTTCGACTGCATCGGTCTGTGTGTCCCGTCGCTCACACCTGAACAGGAAGTGTTTGGTTCATCTGTAGTCTCATGTCCTGAATGCTACCAAGAATCTTCTTCTGATGGCCAGCCAACGTCACCCCTATCCGCAGCAAGTCCCTGTGGAGTGAGAAGAAAGGAGAGGAAAAATAAGAACAGGTGGCTCCATTATTAAAAAAAATAACTAAAGTAGACAAACATCACATGTCAGAAGTTGAAGTGCAAATTTCACTTTTCACAAGTAAACACACACTGTATCAGGTGGGAACAAGGACAGACAAGCACCTTGGCAATCACCCGTAAAATGGCTTCCTTAGGGTATGTCAACAAAATGGGGACACTCATCCAGCTACAGCGAATGTTAGTCTTAATGCAACATACTTCTGTTGCCCGGCAGGTGGGCAAAGCGGAGGGGAGTCAAAGCCATAATGTGATAGTTAATGATTAAAGAGCAAACTTAACTACTGTTCGACAGCTGGCAGACTTCACAGAGTCCACACCAGTCTGCCACTTAGCTAAAGAAACGCAGAAGCAGAAGTTTTTTTTTTTTTTTTTTTTTTGCAACATATTAGCCAGATTACCCAGAATCCTGTCATTCATACTTAGAATGGGTCTGTGTGTCGGTAAATCAGCTTTAAGTTGGCCACTGTTGCACAACATTCTTCAATCAATGCTTAAAAATACTACAGCAAACAAGACTGGAAAATGTTAATGAGTCTTTTAGCCAAGGGCTCACACAAACTACCACAAGTGTGATCTGTAAAGTAGAGGGCGTTAACCCAAGGTTGAGCGTACAGTTGACATTACTACACCCTTAAAGAGGCCGGGGAGAGCGCACCTGCTCTGGCCGTCATTAGTCAAACGGCATAATCTAATCATCATGGTCATGTTGGTTTAACACTGCACAATAATATCACGAGAACCTCTCTTTTCCGCTCGCTTGTTTGATTTCCCTAGTCGATAGCTGAGGAGAGAGCGGACGGCGTCTGGGACAGCGATTAGCTGACTGTTGGGGCTCTGCCACAGTCTGTGTCCTCTCCGTTCAGTTACACACACACACACACACACACACAAACAGTGGATAATCTAATATTACACGCAGACACCATACACTCTGCTTGTCTCATTGACTTTGTGGCCCTATCCATTTGAGTCCAAAACTGTGCACCTAAACCCACACATGAACAAACACACTGACGCACATACAGTACGTGCATGTGCGCTCACATCCTCTCCAAAGCCAAATAAGGGTGAATCACTGCAATTTCACACAAATAAATGGTGTTTTTTTTTTTTTTTTTTTTTTTTTTTTTTTTTTTTTTTTTTTTTTTTTTTTTTTTGTTTTTTCATATTTCGCCATCTCCATCAGCACAGCGATGGAGGATGAAATGATAATAAATGGGCACCATTAGAGGAATTACTGGCCATTAAGGGCAACAGAGAGCCACAGTACACCACACCTGTCAGCCTGGCCAAATTGAAACAAATTACCCCCACCTCCATTGCCTATTATGCAGCTAATGAGGATGATTTATTTATCATTATAATTTTAATTCATTTATTTGATCATCACTGGCCTCCAATTTCCATGACTTCCATTACATCATTTCCTGTTTGTAAACACGGCAGGAGGCGGGTGAGTCGTCAAGGTCAACTGGAGATCGTAGTAAAGAAGCAGCTACAAGTGCTCGCTGAACGACTGTACTCCACTGTTTAACCATGCATTTGTTGATTATGTGTCAGATCTGCTTTGTTTTTGAAGCGGGTGATTGTTACTAGTTAAACCCGCCCCCCCCCTTAATTACAAAATCCCTATTCTACAGTGAACCTATCCTGATTGGTCAATTACACACCAAATCACAGGAAAAGCATAGAAGAGTTTGTTTTCTCATTTCGTATTCCTACATAATCCCTCTCACGTCTCTCCTGGCAAATTTTGTTCCTGTAAATCTTGTTCATACTCACGCTCATTTTTAAAACTACTATTCTTCATACACTGTAATAGCTGGGAACACATTACCGTAAAAGGCCTGATACTCTGTGTCTTCAAGGCAATGATTTATCTAGTTCAACAAATGCATTTCTGAAATGTCTACTAAATGCACCAGAATGGTAAAATGTGCTTTATTTTCTTATGCTTTTTATCTGGTATTCATTTGATGTCTGAGCCCACTCAGAGCCCACTTTTCACATCTTATCATGTTTAATTTAGCCATGAGACTATTTTTATTCCCTCAAGGTCAATCTGTCTAACACTAATTTGACTCTCAAACTCAGCCCAGTCAATCACTTTAGGCCTGATTAGCTGGATCCTCTCTCTCTCTCTCTCTCTCTCTCTCTCTCTGCACTCACTCTGCTGTCATCTGGGCCACCAGGTCAAAGGAAGCAAATCCGGCGTTGACGAAGTTGTCACGGTAGCGGCTCATCTTGATGGCGTCCAGCCAGTCCCCCACAGTGGTGAAAGTGGTATAGTCTGGCACACAGCGGTCAAGCAAGGGCTGGGATACCCTACATAGGGGGGGGAGGGAGGGATGAGGGAGAAAGAGAAACAGAGAGAGAGAGAGGGTTAAGGTCGTCACTCTACTGCCTCTACCGGCCAACCTCACCCCCAAACGCCCCCCGCTGAGCGCCACCTCTCCATTTCTCCACCTCTCCTCTCCCCTCTCCCCTCCTCTCCTCCACATGTAAGGAGATGTGTGCACATGTAAGGAGTTGGGTGAGGGCGTGGGCCAGGGTACTTTTATGACTGTGGAGAGACTGGCTGGAGGCTTGGGTGGGTGGGTGGATGCTGGCGCTGCAGCTGGTGAGGCGAGCTGGTGTGTGTTAGTAGAGCAAATGTCAAATCTGGTCTTGAATCATGAATAACACATTGTAATTTACATGGAACTAGATCAGATTTATATTAAGAACCTATAATCATTTGCTATTTTTACAACAACAGGTGTCATAGTAACCAAGTTACTACCAATTTGTTCTTTTTTTTTTTGTCAAGAATGCATTTATGTGGCAGTATGGAAATGTGCCTCATGAAACCCTGGAAATGTCTGGGTTGCTCTCTTCCTGTTTGTTGGTTCCTGTTCTTCTGAGATGTCACTGTGTTGCAAGGGGACTGACAAGTCAGAAAAAAACAAACTTGAAATCCAATCTGAGTGGTTGTATGGAGTTGCACTTTCAAACCACCAACAACTGTGGTTTGAATCTGATCTGGGAAGATTGGATTTCATGCGGTTTAGCTGGACAGCTCAAATCAGATTTGGGCTGCCGGTGCGAACATAGCTTAGGTCTATAAGCTATACGCTGTATAGTACACAATTACTGCATTTCAAATACATTCCCTCAAGATGTGTTTCTTTCTGACCAGGTTCCCTCGACAAAAGGATGCGTGCAACATAATTCCACAGAGATGGAAAGAAGTTTTGGGAAAATGGCTCATGATGGGAGAAATATCTGTGGAATGTAAACACAGATGTGTGTGGTTGCATATTTGGACTGACTCATGAACCTGTGGATGCTGACAATACATGGAAGGAGTGACTCACAAACCTGCATGCGTGTTTGACTGTGCATCTTTGTGTATATGAAAGTATAGCTTAGTAGTGTGTGAATGTGTATGTATGTGTGTGTGTGTGTGTGTGTGTGTGTGTGTGTGTGTGTGTGTGTGTGTGTCTGTGTGTATCCCTGAAAATGTGTTTGAGGGTATTTTGCATGTTCCTGCACACCTGTTGACAATCTAAAAAAGGCCTTTCTAAAGAAGAAGCTAACCCACTGTGCTGATCAATGCTGCAGATAGAGGCCACCTTGGGAGTTTTAATAAAACTGCGCTGCTACAACTCCGAGCAAAGTGGAGCGGATGAACAAGAGAGGAGGGTGGAGAAGGAGGGGGCGAGAGGGAGGTGTGGGGGAGGTGAAGGAGGAGAAACAGATGAGGGACCAGGCGAAGAGAATGAGCACCACTGTCTCCCCTCCTCTCTGCTCTGTTGATCCCTGTCATCCTTTTTGATGGCATTAGATTCATTAACAATTAAAAGAGGAATGGAGAGAGAAAGAGGGAGAAAAGAGAAAAGGCATGGAGGGGGAGTTAATAACAGTGATACAGAGGCTCCATTGAGTGGTGTAGATGGAGTGATTTTTAATAAGGCCTGTGCTTCGGAGCCCAAGGCCTCAGGCCGTCGTTAACGCCAGACTCTGGCTCTTCTCTTAATGGAGTATTGTTAGCCCTCCTTCTAAAGTTGGCTTCAAAAGGGTCCAGACCATTCCCAGCCACATGTTAGCCACAAGCAGAAACGCAGCAGGAAAGCTGGGTAATATTGTACGTTAGCTATTCAGACAGTTAAAGGCCAAGGCTAAATTCATGCTTGATTGCTGGGGCTGCCACGGTTGCACCACAGGGTTAGAGTAGAAAGATAAACACAGAAATGACTTGTGATGTCACCAATGCTCATTTCACTCATTATGCTGCCAAGTATGTGCAGTACACACAACTAAAGAACTTTGATGTCAGACAGTGTCAGCTAACCTCCAGCCACCCTTCAATGCCGACCAGGACGACAGTATCATCTCTCACTCCTCCCTTGTTAGGTTTGTCGGCAGGAGGCCACCTCTCCGCTGGCCCGTTTAAAATCTCGTTAGTGGCTAATTAAAAGGCGCTCCCATCTCTTTTTTGCATCGCCTTAATCGAGCTAATTAACCGCAAGCTTAATCTTCTAAGAACGTCACTCCGGTGGCCAACCGAGACCCTGGTTTCCCCCCTGAGCCCAACCAAGGATTGTCTGTGGCCCTCCCTCAAGACAGAAAGACCCTGATGCAGGGACAGATAGGTAGGTCACCCCCTCCTCTGCACTCCAACTCTGCCACCTTCTCTCCTCCAAATTCTTTCCAAGAAACAGGTTGCAGAGGAAGGTGGTGCAGCTAAATGTAGATGTGACATCACTGATTGAGCTCCCAGTCAGCAGGGGAGTTGCTTTAAGGGCTGCATTGAGCGATGGTAATTTGGATTTGCATAATGGCCCAGGCTGCATTTGTGAGAACCAGAGAGTTGTATGGGAAGAAATCTGCACTTTATAGGAGTTAAGAGATTGTTACAGCTGAGTCAGAGTGACTCACGCACACTGTATCAACTCGGATAAGGAATATTTGCACAGTGGAAATCATTATCACAGGCGCTCTGGCTCAGGTGCAAATGAAATGACTTGGCTAGTACTCCCACGGCTGAAAAGTCAAGTGACTTCACTCAATAAACTAATGACCTTTTGCTGTAATCTATCATAAGAGTCCAGCTGGGCTCCTTCAAAATATGACTTAAGAAAACCAGAGAAGATTTTTCCAAAGCATTCAGCACTAATATCCATAATGCGATGACCATAATTAGACATGATTGCCCATTATGAAAATCACTAATCCACCTAATAAAACTCAACAAGGACCACCGGGGACACTAAGAAAAACAGAATCACAAGTTAAAGTCTATTTCTGCAATTACCAGCTCCAAAGAACCTAGAAAACATAGGGCATTTTGCTGTAAAGCTTTGCTCGACACAGCTTCCATACTGATTCTGAACTTAATATGAGCAACATGCTTTGACTTACCCAGTGGACTGTGTGCTGTTGGTGACCACCTTGAGGCTGGCAGCATTGCGGATAAGCTTATCCAGCGTGGCCACAATCTGGGTGAATTTGGGCCGCAGGTTTCTCTCTTTTACCCAGCAGTCCAACATGAGCTGGTGCAGTGCTGTGGGGCAGTCCATGGGTGGGGGAAGTCGATAGTCCTGCTCCACGGCATTTATCACCTGAGGAAGGACGAGAGAGAAATCACAATTGCTTCTAATCACCAAGTATGGTGTAGAGGGAGGACGAACTACACAAGGAGAGAGATGGGTCGATGAAGAGAACAAGTGAGGGAGGACAGAAGAGGATGAATGAGGGAAATGATAGAGGACTGAGAGATAAACAGAAAAAAATCACCCTAGGTGATACGAAGAAATAAGGGCCAGAGAAAAATTAGCTGTGAGGAGCAGTTGTAGGTGTATATGTAGAGAGAGAATGACTTTTGGACAAAAAATGGCTGAAAAATACTACAGCTTTGTGAGAAAGACAGCATAAACATCTACTTTCATATCAGTGAAATTAAGTATGTGTATCACATCTTTGCTTACATCTTGATTGCTCATGTCCCAGTACGGCCGCTCGCCGTACGACATCACTTCCCACATGACGATGCCGTAGCTCCACACATCACTGGCTGAGGTGAACTTCCTGTAGGCGATCGCCTCGGGAGCCGTCCAGCGAATGGGGATTTTCCCTCCCTGTGGATATGCGAATGAGTAGGTGAGCATGAAATACTGGAGGGATGGAGCACAAACACAGAGTCACACACATACAAGAGGGAGAGAGAGGGTGAGAAAAAACACAGTCCGAGGGAAACATTGATACACAACACATGGGCGCATGCTGTAGAACCCCAAACACCACGTACACACAAGGTTAGTAACACAGTTAGAGAAAATGAGGTGTACAAACACATGATGCTACAAGAATATTTAATGTGCTACAAACTGTATTTTTCAACATCAATATATCGCCATCATTTTTAGAATCCTTTCTTGTAACTACCACACAAACTCATCCGTCATTCTTACTGACATTGCTCTGGGTGTTTTTGCTTTTTGTTTTGCTACTAAAATGGATCTATATGTTTGAAGTGACTTTTCAATCACCCTTAATCACTTGTTTGGTGATCTGTCGCTGTAACGTATTCAGCGGGCTTTAGCTGAGTTGCACAGGAATAAAAGATCCATTTTCGTGTTTGAGAAGCACAGTTGTACTGAATCTCAAATCCTATCTGCCTTGACGTGCTTTGCCACTTTTACATGTTGTGTTATGTCAGAAAAAGAGCCAGAATCAATATTTCATATCAGACACTCCCTTAATTTGTCAGCAAATGTTCTTGTAACATATTTTGCAAATCTGCCAAAGTTTCATTGGAAACACACAGCAGCACATCCAGGTTGAAAAGTTCACCAAAGCAACCAAAGTGTCCGTAATGCTGCGCTTTGGAAACACTTTCGTGACTCCAAAATGTCATAAATTCAGCAGCAAACAGTCATTCAGCTGCAATCTAATTTTTTTTAGTCCACTGTTTTAACTGCTCTTATTTTTCTCTCCTGCATGCCATCCAGAGTAAGGAGAGTAAAATCTCCCTCTCCGCCCAGAATGGTCATGTCATGTGGGAACAGACTTGACACAGATCCATTTTTTGAATACACTCAATACACATGGCAATACTTGCCAATGTTGTGGATTCTTTTGTGAAAGGGGCCAAAATTTAAGCAATAGTGATGTATTGATGTTAAAACGTTACATGTAGCACCTTTAAACATTGATTTCAAACATGAACACATATACACAAACACATACACATGTATGTACACACACTGACTCACCAGCGAGCTGGTGTAGGTGGGGTCTGTCGGGTCGTCCTCGAGGAAACGAGATAGGCCGAAGTCGGACACCTTACACACCAGATTACTGTTGACCAGGATGTTGCGGGCAGCCAAGTCTCTGTGCACGTAGTTCATGTCTGACAGGTACTTCATGCCTGCTGCGATGCCACGCAGCATGCCAACCAGCTGGATCACTGTGAACTGCCCGTCATTGAGCTGGCAAAGGAAGAGAGAGAATGACAAGGATAAATTGGATTGTAGATCAAGGTTGCACATTCAAAGGAATATATGTTTTTCTCTCTTTTACTTTTATTTGTCCTACGTGTCTCTTACTTTCTTTGCATATGTTCTCTTACCTGCATAATTAATCTCCCATCACTTTTGCACTGTGACATCTCTCTCCTGTCTACCCACCCACCCATCCTCCATTCCTCTCCTCTCTATATCCCTTGTATTACTCCCCTTTCTCTGGCAGACAATGTATGGTGTGACTTTGAGGCAGAGATTCATTGGAGACTGAGCTCTTTGTAAATGTCACCAATTGCCTGGATGCAGCATTTGTAAGATATCCATTGTGGGCACTGCAGCAGAGCTTTTATGGCTCCAAAGAAAGTGAGATAACTAACGGTAAGATCAAGGAGATTTGGATGGGCTTATTTGCTGGATAGGGTTGCATTAATGATAAAATCGCAGATCCATGTTTTATAAGGAGTAAGTCATATTAGAGCTCTTCTTGTGTGTCATGTGTTTATGTGTGTTCATTTTTCTCACCCTTAGGAAAGAGTCCAGGGCCCCGTTCTCCATGAACTCAGTCACGATCATCACTGGCCGACTCTTGGTGACCACACCTTCCAGTCGGATAATGTTGGGGTGGTCGAACTGGCCCATGATGGAGGCCTCGGACAGGAAGTCTCGCCTCTGGCGGTCAGTGTAGCCCACCTTGAGGGTCTTGATGGCTACGATGATCTCCCGGCGCCCGGGCAGCTTGAGGCGACCGCGGCACACCTCACCAAACTCTCCTGCGCGAGCCCAGGTGAGACGGGCAGAGAAACATCAAAAGAGGAAGAGGAGAGATGGAGGGAGAGAGAGAAAAAGAGGGAGGGGAGAGAGGCATGACGGAAGAGTGGAGGAGAGTGGGGGGAAAGAGGGGAGAGGGGACAGTTAACTGGTTAGAACCAAGGAGCCAGGGAAGGGTAGCGGGAGGGGTGGGACAGGGGGAACTGCAAAGAGAAGCCAGGACTCTAGGCCAGTGTCAAGGGATGGAGCATACAGTGACTTTATGCTGTTAAGCTATGGATTAAAAGAAACAGCATGGTGAGTGTGAGGCATGATGATGGAATGTGAGATTTAGGTGTAGAGTTGATTAAGAAAAAAATGCATGTTGAAATATGAAAAAAAAAATGGGTAAAGTAGGTTGACAGGGTGAGAGGAGCTGAGGGGGACAGAGGAGGAAGGGGCAAGGATCAGGGGGGTGGGGGTGGTGCTAAGCTTCGAAGGGGCTGGAGACATGGGCGCAGGTGGAGGAGATAGGTGGAGACAGAAGCTTAGGGGTTCTCGGGGTCGTGGACGCTTTACGTTTAGAGTCTACACCAAGCGTGTGCAAGAATGCAAGAAAAAATTAGGCAATGAGAGCGATATGTGTCGACACGGGTGCAAAGGTCACAGAATGGGGGAAGTCGGGGAGGGGAGGAGGAGGGGAGGGGGCAGGGGATGGAGGAATGGAGGAATGGATTGTGGAAGGGGTAGAGGAAAGTAGGGGGACAGGGAAGACAGGGGATGAGGGTTCGTCACTTTAAAGGCGAATGCTGGGAAGCGACGGGTTTCAAGTAGTAGCCTCAGCAGTAGAAGAGTTGTCGTAGTAGTAGTAGTAGCAGTAGTAATGGTAGTAGCAGAAGCAGCAGTAGGGGAGTCCCATCTCTGCCATCACAACGTCCTCCATTTTGGCTCAGATACAATGCTAAGAAAACTCAAACTTGGCACAGTCCTGCAGCTTTTGAGCAGAGATTATTACTATCAAATATATCAAATACATAAAAAATATTTTACTATCTACGACATCAAATGTTAGGGAGGGGTTCTAATGGAGGGGGACACAACCACATAGTGGAGGAAGTGTAAGTGTGTGAACAGGGGTCATATATAGTGATCCAGTAGAAGCCCTCTTTAATAAAGAGGTTCTCAAGACACTAAAAAGTGGGCAGGGTCGGAGACAGCCAATCCTGGACAAGAAATATTTTAATATCTTTTGCCCCATCTGGACAGGATTAAATCTTCAGAGGGATGCAGGGAAATAAATATCAGCCATGCTTCTTAGTAACATGCTTTGTACAACCCAAGACTAGGGAGTTTAATAATAACTGTATGTCAGTAACCAAGTAATGGGTTTGTATAAAATGCTTTCATTACAACCCACAGAACTCAAAAGTGGGCGACAGCTGAAGTTCAAAAATTGAAAATGGGAAACTTCATTCAGACTTACATCTTAAATCACAAAGTGTCTATCTATAAAGGAAGGGGAAAAAATGGATGGCCAACAAGTGTGCCAAATAACAAAAGGCTATAATTAATACTGGATGAGATAAGAGAAGAATTACACACATGCGCTCGGACAGGATTACATTTTTCCCCTAGAGAAATAAATCCTGTCTGTATGGGGCTGTAGTCTTGCATTGTCCAGAATCTGCTTCCAGTGGTTTCAAGAAGATTTTCAAGTCATAATGACTTTTCTGCTGTGTCATACCTATTTAAATCAAATCAATTTTCTCAAACAGCATCTTTCTCGTTCCAGGATTGGGCTCCATTTTAAGGTCACAGGTGAAATGATAATCTGCCAAACAACAGGCTATTACAGCTACTCTAAATATACACAATATGGTAAATAAGATATGGGTGCTAGAACTGTCAGTCTCGCTAACTGAAAAGAGATAAAGACACACTGTAGCTAGTAATGCTTTTGAACACAGGACAGTGCTGGAGACATCTGTAAGACTGGAAAGGGGTTCCTAAGAGGTGACGAGTGTGGTAGGGGAGGGAGCAAGGAGAGGGCTAGCGATGAATTGAGTGAAAGTACCGCTTGGTGTGAAGTCCTCTAACGGAATGGCCTGGAGGTGACTAGCAGTCTTCCCCCTGTAGCTCAGGAGCTTTGGTGGGTTACCTGCGCCGATGACCTCCTCGATCTTCACGCAGGAGACATCTATCTCCTTGGCAAACTCGCGCACTGCTTCGTTGGGGTCCTCGTAGGTGAAGGGGTCAATGTAGACTTTCATTCCCGGCGTTACTATAGGGGATTCAGTGGCAAGAACAGGAAAGTGAATCTATGCTGCCAAAAAAAAATCAAAACACCCAACAATCGTTTAATGCTCTGAAAAAAAAGCTCTTTATCAACCAAGGAAAGATCAAAGCAAGATCCTTCTTGACTATTTTATTACTGCACTAGATCGATGAAGCTGATTCATGTTATGTGAGCTATTCCTTAGCGCGTGGGGATTCTCAGTCGATGCTAAGTTGAAGTGTAGGACTGCTGCTGTTGGAAAGCCATGTAACAAGGAGGGTCATCTCAGCAAAGAGACTTACTGTACTGCTGCAGTTTCTCTGTGTACTCCGACTCTGAACCATTTCTCTGCTTTCTGTTGAGAGAGACGAAAACACAAACTGAGTCACGTGGACTCCTCACACAGCAGGGTGCAAATACTGGAAAGGAACAAAGGCATGAAGAGAAAACAGATCCCTGATAATGTCTGCAGAGATGTAGCCACACTACAATGTGGCTTGGTGAAGATGTTTAGTCTTCCTGCACTGGAGGCAAAGGGATACGCTGTAGATAAAGATTGTATCAATGCCTGGTGGTAAAATGATTCATACTTTGGGACTGTAACTGGAGTCTAAACAAAGGATATCATACCATTGTCTTATGCAGTAAGTAAAAGCCGTTCACTCTGGGTACCCTCAAAATGAGCAGCCGAGACAAAAGCAGACTTCAACAGCAAGCTCAGCTGTCTTGCTTTTCTCGCCCTACAGACATCACAGCGCTCCTTCCAATTCAGCCTGCTGCTTATTTTTCTCCTCACAGACTCTCGCTCTCTTCCTGTCATTCTCTCTTTCCTTTTTTTCATCCATTTGTTTTCTCTCTTTTTCTCTTTTACCCATGTCTCTCAGTTTCTGTATCCGCACCTTCCTGCATGTGTCCCTTCTGCATGCGGGAGGGGGTGGGGGGCAAAGATGGTGACAGAGTGAGGGGGCTGGGTTGTTGAAATTACATGTTAATGTGCTTCCTTTGTTGTCTAACCAGTAACCAGGGCAATAATACCCGATGGTGATTTGCATCTTATTTCAAATTCTAATTTGGTTCCGGAATATGCCGAAGCTCTGTGTTTTGTATTATTACTATTTTCTCCTTCTTCTGTGGCAGTCAGAGCAGGAGCTAAGCCAAGACCCTGAGAGAGACACAATGTAGTGGTGTGAAAATAGAAGAGAGCGAAGAGGCAGGAGGGAGAAGGAGAGGAGGGGGGAGCCAGGGAGATTATTATTCAGTCTAGCGTGACCGATGCCCACGCTTGTCAGACGTTGCCTGAACTGGCTTTCGGAGGGAACCCAGTGAGCGCCAGTCAGCGGTTGGTGCCAACCTTTCACACACACACACACATATATATATATATATATACACACACACACACACACACACACAAACACACACACACACATACACACACTGAATTTGCTGCTTGACAAATAAGTAGTATAAGGATAAACGAGTGTGGTTAGACCCAGCTGATGCAGAGTCACACTTTTTGAAAGGTGTGAGCAGCCGCTTGCATCTTCCCAGTCAATTGGGCCCAGCAGACAGGGCCGCATCTGGGTTCTTTGTGGTCGGGCAACTGCACAGTTAACTCTGAGTGCTGGGCCATGAGGGCAGGCCTATCAGGCCCAACAGCTGCTCCACCATGCTGTGTCCAGTGAGCAAAGTAGCATTTCGGCCAAAGCTGTTTACTATTCACAGATTCAGAAGGCTAATCTGGCATTCAGTGGTCTCACAGGTGGCACCGAAATCCGCTGAGACTGTTCTGGAGGACATGCAAACAAAGTTGACATTTGAAGCTATCTCAGTTTTTTTTTTTTTTTTTTTCAACTTGAAAGAAAAATGTTCCCACAAATGTTTCTTTAAGTCCTTGTTGTTTGAACACACTCTGCAGGGTAGATAAAAGTAAATGAGTCAGTGTAGAAGTGCTCTACCACACTCGTATCTACTGTTGCTGCCCAAGTTTCTCAAGCTTTTTGAGACGCTGTTGAATGGTGAGATGTTCTGACCTGAGGCAGACGATAGCGATGACCACAACCGCAATGATGAAGACCAAGGTGGCGGTGGCTGATCCCACGATGAGTGGCAGCTGCTCCTGCCATGACTTCGGAGGGTCAGCTTTAGGGGTCAAAGAGAGAGAGAGAGTGGTTACTGAGAGAACGTGCCACAAACATACACCCACACTAGCTGTAATCCATTTGTATAGCCAAACCATGCCACTCTGCGTTTTCTGCCACCAGTCTAACTGCAGGCTCGTATGCCTCTCACGCCTACTTCAGATCTGTATGCTTATGTAAGTAAAACCATGCCCCTGTGTTCTTCAGGCTGTATTTAGCAGGATGGAGAGCAACCTGAGACTAACATATACATTTATGGGACATGATGAGTATGATGTGGAGCAAGAGTGAATTAATACCTTGACTGATTGCTAGGAAATGGTAGCTTTTTACCAAATTTTAAGTCAATTTCTCTACAAGGATTTCAGTTATTTTTGCATGAAAAGTAGGCATAGTAGCTTCTAGCTCTATGAGCTTTTGAGCCTCCATTATGTTCGTAGGCTTATGCACAGCACTATTATGGTGGTATTGCTACTAAGCCACAAATATCCCAGTACATCCCTGGGTAATAAAGTGGGTATGGGAATAACATACTTTGCAGGTTGGTGCTGAAGTCGGCCGGGCTGCTGTATCGGCCGTAACCGGCCACTGTTCGGGCACGGACCTGTACCACATAAGGCGTACCAGCCTTGAGACCTTCAATGCGTGCGTTGCTCCGCTGGGCAGTCATGGTGTGGGCGATGGCCTCACCCTGATCCTGCAGAGACAAAGACAGTCAGTGATGAAAACAACACCAAACAGCAGCCCCTTGTGCTGTCTCATTCATCATCAACCCCTCTCTGATGCTCTACCCTCCCTGACACGGCTGACCAGTCGAACCATGCAGGCGGGTGAAAGAAATATGGAGACAAGAGTGAGAGAGAGAAAGAAATGGAGACAGACAGATTGTAGACGGCGTGTTAATCCAACGGGAGAAGGACAAGACAACAAACAGAGCAGATAAACACTGAGCGCCTTTGTTCTCTATGCACAACTCTCTGGGCCTCTGGAAAACAGAGAAACTTTCGAATGCATGTATTGAGAGAGGACGGGGGGTAAGAGCGAGGGCAAGAGGGAGAGAGAGAATTAGGGGTACAGAAAAGGGCAGAGCATAATGGAAATATGGGAAGGGATTGGGTGAGAGAAAGAGAGAAAAAGGAAGGAGGGATAGAGGGGTGGAAAGAGGGGAATAAGTAGGCGAGGATGATCATGCAAGCTATGATTGGAAATGGTGTCTTGCCTCACTGCAGCCATGTGTTTATCAGCTGTGGCATTGTTTTCCACATTCACAGAAACACAGACGAAACAGAGACCATGCGAGTCATTGAAATTGGATTGAATTAGAGGCGTTGACTTACATTGCCGCTTACCTTCTCATGGTACTTAATCTCATAATCCAGAATGATTCCGTTGGGTTTGTCTGGAGGCAGCCAGGACAGGCTCATGGTGCTCGCTGTGGCCGCCATCAGGTGAACTGTGGGCACTGCAGATGGAGCTACATGGGGCAAAGCAAATAAATGAAAACCTGTTTTATTTATCGTTTTCTGTGTTATGTCTTTTCAAGTTCTATGCCCTTTGTGTGTTCACATAAGCCCAAACACAAAGTCTTGGGCTGTGGCCTTTGTGAAAAGCTTTGGCCAATAGTTAGTATGCAGAACCATTCCCCACTAATGCTCGAATTCTCCCTCCCAGAGTCCTTGGGGAGGGAGAGGGGATGTCTAATTCTCCTGTGACAAGAGAATCAAACTGCAAAACTGATGGATAAGTCTCTGGTACATGTAGTTCCCTAAGCAATAAACCAACTTGCGGGCAAGCATAGGAGCCGGCACACACATACAGTTGTAGACATTTCACACATTTAACTGAGTTCTTGTTGAACTTCTGCTGCACTTTTGCTCCTTTGAGGTGTTGGAGAACAGTCGTGTTTTCCATGCGTTGTGTGCTGTCCATACATTGACATGTACTGTTACTATGCATGAAAATGAGCACGCACAATATAAGCGATTTATGTTTTATGGACATATACACACTCACAGAAGACCATAAAACACACTGGCACTCCACCCACCTGAGCTTTTCATGCTTTGTTCACATGTGCCTATTAATGGCCAAGTGCTGTCTGCCTCCCTGTCTCCCTTTTCCTCTTTTCTAAGTTCAGGCTTGTTCTGTAGCTGTGACTCACTCCCTCCTCTCAGTCTACTCCACTGCTTTTGTTTCATAACTTTAACTGTCTATCTCCAGTGGCACCTTCTCTTCAAAAATAAAGTTCCTCACTTCTTTTCTACACTCTACACAATCACCTTCTTAAATTTCCCCCCCGTTTCACTGTCCTCTTCAGCTCTTCACTTTTCATTTCCTTTTCACCGCTGCACACACATTCTCTCTTCATTTTTGTTAAAAGGTTTTTAATCCCCAGTTTTTAGTTCTTTGATCCTCCCCCTTGTATTTCCTTTCTCCCTCTGCTGCCTGTGTCTGTGGCCAGACATCCTTCTGTTTCTCTCTCTCTCTCTCTCTCTCTTCAAACCTTCCCTTCTCTACCCCCCTTCCCTTCCCTGCCAGCCTCATCCATCCAGGCCCTCCACATCTTTCTTTCTCCCCCTGATGACAATACTTCCTAGGCAGATCCCCTGGTTACTCTAGCCAGGGGATTAGGGGCCCTCCTATGGGAGAAGACGTCGCAGTAACCATGGAGGTGGCCTCTGGGGCTTATCACCGCCCTAGTATTTATTTTGGTTCTTAAAAGGTGAATGCACATGCAGGGATGGTCTTGGGACTACACCAGGGGATAATCTGATCACAGTTGATGCTCTCTTGCCCCCTGCTTTCTCTTTACCTCTCTCTCAACTGACCCCCTGCACCCAAGGATGGACAGTGGTTCCTGTCAGCCCAGTGCCGGACCCCTCGTAAAATAATGAGGCCCTCTTATGGGGCCCTGTGGGACCTCTTGGTCCGAGGCTCACAAACAGAAGGCATTCGTAAAGCATTTTTAGGAGCAGGAATACAAGGTTAGAGGTGATGAGGACAAGGCCATAGAGAGAAGGGAGAGATGATGGGTGATGGAGGAAGGGATAATCCTTTGGGTTGTCTAAGACTGCAGAAAGAGCAAATTTAACATAGCGACTAAAGTCCAAGGCACAACTTAAGAGCCCTGGGAGAACCTGAACAAAGAGACCAACTCACAAGAACAAAAGGGTACAGAGGGCTCAACAGCACTGACATTTAGTGAGGTTGTTTAAGGTGAACTGAACCAAACAAAATGACCAAGTTTTACTAAGCGATTACAAAGTAATCTACCTACCTACCTACCTAACTAGCCACAGGTACTTACCAATTTACTGATTTTAATAAAAAATATATCACCCAATTTACTCTGTGAATCTCAGTGTTATAAAGAACATATGCAATAAGTCATCACTACTACCCTGTTATTCTGTGTATACATTAGCGGGGGTTCATTCTCAGTTTCACACAGCACTGATTGCTACATTGGCCTAGTTACTGGTGTTGCTGTGGGCTGGCGGAGCGGTGGGTTGGAAGCAGTGGGCAGCTACAATGCTGAAGGTTCAACACTTTGAATACACACTGCCTCGCTATTGCTATTTGCAGCAGTGTTAGTGCAGAGCATGTTGTGGGCGTGTGAAAAAGGTCCCCTTCTAAGCTCATTCAGAAGAATGTCTTCCTTCTCAATCCCTGTTGAAAGCAAAATATGTAACATACTCCTACATGCATACAAGAAATTGATCTTTACTTCTTAAGCGCAGAATTTTATTCTTTGACATCCTTTTTTTATCTTTTATCTAGCCTTTGAAAGTTGGCAGTGCCTACAAGTTCAATATTGATCTTTGACAGGCAGCCACAAGGCTGCAGCTCTACCTACCGGCCTGATTTGTGGTGATATTCACTGCGGAGAACTGAGGTGTATAAGGGCTCTTGCTTGAAACACCGTTGACCGCCTGGATCTCGAAGCTGTACTGTGTGTGGGCCTGCAGGTTACGGACGGCTACACGGCGCTGGTTCAGGCCCAGGTGGCGCGGCGAGATATCTACGTTGTCATCACACCGCGAGCACATTCCCCGCTCAGGCAGGCACTTCTTACAGATGACGTTGTAGAAGATGTCGTCGCGGCCGCCCATGTCACGTGGCTCGCTCCACTCCAGCACAAGCGAGGTTTCGTTCACGCTGGAGATGACACTGCGTGGTGCAGAGGGAACAGCTGCAAAAACGAAGGTAAAGCATGGATGAGATGAGGAAAATAGGTTTGGAATGAGAATGAATTTAATCTCCATGCACAATAGGTGTAAAGAAATTTGTCTTGGTGACAGTGCAGAGACATACTGACAATAGAAAAAGATTCATATTGAAAGACACAGTTTACACATCATTATACACACATACATTCATTATTCCATAGCTGCTATCAACATAATTCATGACCCAAGAATTTTCTTTTTGCGGTGGTATTAGTACATCTTTCATGCATTAAGTAGAACACTTTTTTTTTCTCCTCCACATAACAAGAGACCGTTCCAGCAGTTTTGCAGAAAAAAAGAGGACAGGAGTTCAAATTTGAATTGCATGCTCATTTCCAGTGTGTGTTTGTGTGTGTGTGTGTGTGTGTGTGTGTGTGTGTGTGTGTGTGTGTGTGTGTGTGTGTGTGTGTATAAAGTGCTTGGGGGGGACGAGCGAGACAAACTATTGGCAGAGCCTTGGCAATTCTTATCCAATTACCAGAGCCTTATCTCTCACTGCACTGTGAAAGAATCAGCCTCCCACCGCAGCAACAGAAAAAAGGATCCTCTGCTCTCTTCAGCAGTGAATGAATTAGCTCCTACGTGTGCGTATTTGCTCTTAACGAAGGCACCGCTACTAGAAAAATTCCTCTTCTTTCTGTCTGTAAAGGGGTGGAAGCGTTACAGATAGACTTCACAGAGAGGCGGTTCAGGGGAGGGGCTGGATGATAAAAGTTTTGGATAACGCTGGGAAAGCAAGCAGGCTTGTTTGTTGTCCATGTGGTGTGGTGGGAATGTACTCCTGAGAGCTTTTATCAGGCATTGAGGGCACAATACAAAGCAGGAAGTCTGGGAGAACATTTACCACACAGTCAAGCATTTTGTTTTATGGCTAGCGAAACATTTCAATACTATCTGACTTCAACAAATTTCTGTATTTTGATTGGGAACAAGAAGATACAGAAGTTTTGATGTAAAAATTTGGTGTAAAAATTGTGATGCTATACAGTTGTCAGTTGACAGCAGCCTTCACTTACTGGTACAGGGGGAGTCAGGAGAGTCAGTGTCTGAGCGGTAGTAGCCGTTTCGACAGGAGCAAACGCTGGCTGCTCCTGAGCTGGCACGGCTGTTGGCAGGACAGGGCAAGCAGAAGCCATCTCCCTGTTTGGACTTGAAGGTGCCAGGGCTGCAAGCTGATGGCAGAAGAGAGAGAAATGGAGAACGAAAAGTGTGAATAACAACTGGTTGTTGACTGTAACATCGATGGTTTTGCAAGAAATAATGTTATTACTGAGGTTGTGAGTCTTTTTCAAATGGTGTAGCAAGCAAATCCCATGGTGGTATGAAATTACTAAATAATACTCTCCAACTGAGCCTTAGATGTAGCATACATTCGTTAGCAACAGGATGTAATGTCTGAACTGTGCTGGGTAATGTTGTGGTTGTTCAGCCTGCATTTAAAACTCACTGGTAAAATGAGTGACACATCTCATTTGATGTGTTTAGCATGTGTTTGTTATTTACATATTTGTGCATGTACATGATTTGTCTTTCGTCCCCTCAACCCACATGTGCCCCTTTTGCCCGCATCTTAAGCAAACTGTAGTGGAAAAGGAGAGGGATTTTTGAGCAGCAGGTAGCCGTTTGAATAAACCTATGCTTGCACGAAGAGATTGTCAACCCAAATTACATACACGACCTTCAGAGCCAAAATGCTGGCTTTCGTCTGAATTCAATCTTGTATCAAATACATATAAACATACACAGAGAATCACAGAGGCACACATACTACATGCCGATGTGTACACAAAACATAGGTCTGTGCACTAGCCTACTGTGCAAAGATATGTGTCTGTACACAAACACAGCAACCTGGCCTCAAGTCACTTGAATGCACTTTATCTTAAGAGGATTTCCCAGAAAGGTATGCACAGTATGATTACTTCTGCCTTTGAAAGCACTTCCTTTACAGACCTACACCTTAAACATAGTTTACCTTAAACATAAACATGCCTAACTACCTTAAACATAGTTTTGCCTAACCTGGTTCCTGAATAGGTGATGCCTAGTTAATCAGATGAAACACTGATGGCCTTTGTAATTGCCTTAGCTCCATTTATAGCAGCTGTTTGGAGGTTTATAACTCAGGTGATAAGTTGCAGACGCGCCAGGAAACACTGACAGCGGCACTGTGATCCAGAACACTTTGGCAGGCTCCATATCTTTGATAAACTGTCTCGTTAAAAGATGAATGAGTTTGCGGTGGTGCTTAATAAAAAAAGACGAGAGCAGGTAAGACAGGCAGAGTTTACAGGGGCCAGTTGATTAGCTGACCCACTAGTGCGTTAGCTCGTCAATGTCAAGGACACACTGCTGTGTTTGTCCCCCTGAATGATAATTATCAACGTAGCTTCTGAGTTTGTTTTCCGCTCTCTTTCCAAAACCACCAACATTGGAGATCAGAGCTACAGCGGACCACTTCTTGCTCCTGCCTGTCTTCCCATTTTTGAAAGTTCAATATTAGCACAAAACCGCCAGTTGCTGGCACCGTGTACATTAGCACTGAGTCTATTTGTTCTTCCACCATTAATCAGAGTCATCACACCACTGGCTAACAGGAAGCACTGCTTGATAAACAGATAAGAAATGACCTCGAGTTTTACCAGGTGGGAGAACAGCCTCTTCGATTTGGTATCGTGACCCAAGCAAGTTCTTTAAAGTTCAGCCAAACACAAGTAAACTACAAGCAATTTCTTAACCTGCAGAGAATGAGAGTACTGGTTTTGAACATGCTAGCCTAACAAAAGTTGTTGAGAGCATTCCCATTAAGAGTCAATTTTTTTTTTTTTTTTTTTCAGGGAAGGGATGAACATGCTGATCAATCACTTCCAGTGAGTAAAGGGGTCATCCTCTTCCTTTCATCCATTTTCTCCAAAGAGGAACCACTAAAGAATGAGGAAGAGAGAGAGAGGGGTAGAGGAAAAGGGAGCGAGAGGTGGAAGAAGCGGAGGCATAGAAAATGCTAATCCTGCCCCCTCCCTCCCTCTTCCCCACTCCCCTGTGTCTTATCCTCTCATGCAGAACATAGAGCTTAAGGAACTGATTAGAATGAATGCTGAAATTGGAAAGTGTGGAGCATGAAGGAAAAAAAAGTAAAGAATATTGGGGGTGAAAAATGTGCAGCAAACGAGTGATTAATATTAATGCAGGCATCCTTACTGTAACTCTGCTGGTGTATTAACAAGAGCAACGGCCTTCAGATTAGGAAGGAGTGGGAGAGGTAAAGACAAGTAGAGAGGAAGGGAGAGCAACAACAGTGGAGCTGGAGGACATGCTGCATGTTGGAACGAGGACAGAAAAAAAGCAGAGAAAGGAAGAGTCATGGCCAAAGGATGATGAGAGATGAGTATGGAGTAAAATAGTGGGAGAGGAGAGAAAAGAAGAGATGACCTGAAGAGAGGTGATGTGAGAAGAGAGGAAGAGGGAGGGAGATTTATCCCTTGTGGTTTCGAGTGAAGCTTGATTAGAGAAGGTTTTATCAGGGCCCGGTCACCACGGCTTTAACCTTGAACTGCCAGGAACAAACAAATGAGTTTTTAGCCACATACACAGTGCTTTCAGATTTACTAAGCTCTCTCTCTCACACACCAATCAGCCACAAAGTTAAAACAGGAAACTGGTTTTAATGTTGCAGTCGATCTGTGTGCACACTCTCCCTCTAAAAGGTGAGTACGCATTCAATATACGCACATCTTCACAGGCTCATCTCTCTCTGCTGTAAGAAGAATGAGCCCTGTGAACCCAGGCAGGCAAGGATGACGTGCAAACCGCATATGCAGGGACACCTCGCATTCAACCCCCACTGATCAATAACCCTGCCGTCTCCCCTCTCCCTTATTCCACTGCCCCCATTTGACCTACGCACCCTAAGCTTGATTTTACGCCCCCATATCCTTCAACACACACACATTTTCCATTTATCCTTCCCTCTCCTACTGCTGTCACCTGCACTCCATTTCAGATGAGACCTGGTGTTTAAATTCACCTTGCTCTCAACCTCTGTGAACCCGTTATGTTTTCCATCAGACCTGAAAGCATCATAGGGCCTCCCAGCTCTCATAAACAGACAGCCTCCCCTGCATTTCCATTTATTTAGCAGCCAGCTGCCAGGCAAAACTGGGGTCAGAGGCGTGAACAGCCGCCCGGTGACAGTGTCATCTAGCGTGTATTATTCTACCTTGTTGTCATTGGATTAATGTGTCAAAGAATACAAGGCAAATAAATGGCTCGTAATAATGTGGCAGCTGGGCAATCTAGTGTTGGAGACTGTAACCTGTAGCCAAAACAATACAGATTCAATCTCTCCACCAATCAGTGTGTGTCCACAACAGTCATGTGTCCAGATGAAGCGTCCTTCAGCGAGACTTTGACCTCTCACTACTTGCTCATTGTTATTCACTCTGCATAGAGGCTTCAGGTACTGTGTGCCTAAAATGCAAATGTAACTTTTCTCAGCAGTAATAATATGATACATCATTGATCGCTCAAGGGAAACCCCCCCCCATCTACACCATCTACACCATCCTACCATCATCTTCAAGGGAAGTAAGACTGTGGCATAACTTACAAAATATTATGTGGAATATGCATGGATTCATTGACCTACTCTAGACCAGTTTGGCGGCTGACACGAGCCTTGAACCTTGTGCACCGTTGCTGAAGTATGTCTGTCTAAGCCCTAGATTAATCTACTTTTACAAACACTGAATTACGAAATGCTGGACTGACCTAGAATGACTGTTGTGAAAACACTCACCTTGACATTGGGTTTCCTTCATTGCTGGTTCAAAACCAGCCGAGCAGGTGCAGGCTCCTACGGGAACCATCCACTCCCCATCTCCGTTGCAGTAAAGCTTCAGTGGCACGGACACCTCCACGGCATTGGGGACGCAAGTTCCTGGCGCGATGACCAAGGACGTAGCCTCAGCCCCGGTTGCTGTCTCTGGGAAGACGGCGAAGTTGGCGATTGTGGTGGAGCACTTCTTATAAAACACCCTGACTGAGATGAGTGACATGCAAGCACCAAGGTCCTGGAAGGCCAAGTAGAACCCGGCTTTGGACAATGGCCCGAAACTTCGGACTTTTGTGTTTACCCGCCCAGACTCGAGCATGGAGAAGCTCTCATCTGGGGCAATAGTGTCCACCTTCACATAAGGGTTCTCCATCCAGAAAGGGCTGGTGGCTGTGGCTGAGTCTGAGTCAGACTCGTAGTAGAAGAGGTTGAAGGTCTCTTTGCAGGAACCCGGGATGTTGGGAATGCTGTTGCAATCACGCACTGTGAATTTCATCTCCACATATACACGCAGCACATCCTTCCGTGGGATGAAGTCACTGCGTAGCCAATTATTCTGGTTGAGCTCACGTACATTGCAGACTTGGTACGTCCGGATGGGGTTCATGGCATCGTCGTAGCCACTCACTTCTTCCCACTGCAAAGACAGTAGAACAGAAATATGAACTGGTTAGAGGCTGTAAAGGTTTGTTGATATCTCTGAGAGATACTCTGACAGTTTGACAGATACTAAGACATTCTGTCTGTCTGGTTTCTGCACCTTGCATTAAAGAACAGCTACATTCAGTCACGTCGCATGATCATGAAAGAATAAAAGTATGGGTGTAGGTTAGGACCAAGGAAGAAAGAAGCACAGGGATTTTATTTTCACTTTTTGGATATTGTCAATTACGGTCCCTTGCTTTTGCCGCGCTACGCATTTCATTTCTGGTTAGTGTAGCGAAGAGCCAGGGACAAGGACTGCAAATTCATCACAATTACAGCAACCTGTCACCCCCTCACCACAGAGCCACCACAGCATGTTTACCTCATATCTGTTTGGAAGTAGCAGCCACACTGCTTCACAACCAATTACGCTTCAATTACAGAGCAATGATCGCAACGTCCTCTAATAAAGACAAGGAAAAGGCGCCGGTTAACCTTCATGCTTTTCTGTTTTTACACTCCTCTACGTCTTTCAATGCTACTACAGTACCCAGGGGGTGAATTACTCAGGATAAAATGGGATTAAATTTTCTAAACTTTGATTACCAGCTTCATTAAACGAGCGAAAGCAAACTAGACTGTAAAAGCTTTGCTGTGAGACACTGTGATCTAATGCATTTTTCAATCTCAAATGAGGACACCACGATTAAATCATTTCACTTCAAATAGCGATTCCTGTGTGTAATACATCTGCTTGCGTGTGCGTGTCTGCTCAGGGATCTGCTCTCCTCTCCTATCAGACAAACATAGTGCATTAATTTTTTTTTTTTTTATAGCTAAGGCAACGCCTGGCAAGCTTATTTGCATAGCACCTTTCAAACACAAAGGCAATTCAAAGTGTTTTGCATACGGCATGGTAATGCATTAAAGCATTTAAAAGACAATGCCGAGGAAAATTGAATAGAACAAAATAAAACTAGATGAGGGATTAAAAGTTGGGGTTTTAGCTAAGAGTCTGTGTACATTGCTCACCTTTCACATCACATGGTTGTCAATAGACTTGCTACCTAAATCCATGAGACTGAACCTGTGACCTTCTGATTCCAGGCGGCTCTTTCACATCACTCACAACCCCTGCCACCCTAAAAGACTAAAATACTTCAGTTTTAAATAGCAAGACACATCTATAACAAAATTAAATGCCTATGGCTGAACCCTTGGAACCAAAGTTTGCTTTGGAAGATTTGACTGTCTCAAAACTCTGGCATAAAGGCACCAATTTGTTCTCCAGAGCCAGTTGTTTCCATCTGAGCTCAGAGCATCTTAATTAAGGCTGTGATATGGATGTGGTGGAGACAAGGCTATTAATCCAAGACCCTGGAGGCCATGAGGGAGAGAGGGAGAATGGGCGTAGCTCGGCCATGGCATTAAAACGATGGCCCGTCGAGACCGAGAGAGAAGGAGGAAGCGACCAGAGGGAATCGATAATCACTAGCCAGGTCAATGGGATGGCTGAAAGCATGAAGTGTCAATGGGTATTTAGTTCAGTGTAATAAATCACCCTCTGCAAAACAGCGATACAGCCAAGTGTTTGTGGGTATATGTATGAGGTTGCGTGTGTTTGTTTAAATGTGCTTGTGTGAGTCTGTCTACACGAGCGTGTATTTGTGTACTTGCTCCGCTTGTTTGTTTGAGTGTATGCGCGTGTTGGTGTGTTTATATTTGCATACTTATGGAGACGTCATTCCCGCAAGACACACAGACACACACACACCAGTGGCCATACGCTCTTGAACGCCTGTCTACCAAGCCTGAATTAATTAAGTAGGTCATGTGAAAAAGGGTCAAGTTTCTTGGCATTGGCTTCCAACAAAGATGAATCGTTATGCAAGATTTGTGATCCACTCCATTTTCTCTTTGTCCTTTCCAATCAAAGCTTTAAATTTTACTTTCAGATGTCAATGAACAACACCTCTGTGACATACTATCGCTTTCCTCTAAGGTCCAAAGCTGCAATGGGAAAATATATTTCATGATATTTTTGGCAAAACTGTGGCTCCTTGGAACCAACTCATGAATACAAACATGATTTGAGGACAGCGATGATGGTAGTGCTGCAGGAGTTCATTTCGATACCCTTTTTCACTCTTCATCCTCATACGAATTCAACTTTTAGCAGCCTTGATGGCAACTAAACTAGTGTTATTAGCTTTAGGCATTAGCTTAAATGCTGTGGCTCCAACAAACAATTAGCGTGCTTTTATTTTGCTGTTTGTTTTTAGCGTGAATGAGCTCGGCGGGGCTAATTTCAAGGACATTTTAGCTTGTTCATAACATGTTTTAGCACGCCGGGGGTCTGTGAAGCAGACGGTAATACACTAACAATAGTTATTATCTCCACCAGCTAACTAATTTACAGTATATTGTTATCAGTGTGTGGTTATGGAAACCCCTGTAGGGTGTCATTCCACGTCTGAGGAGAGCCCAGCTATAAAGTGGAATTCCCCTTTAATATCCCATCTGTTTTGTGAGACAAATGATACAGTATACACAAACACAACACATACACAATACAAAGAGATGTAGTATAATTGGAAATCCGAGCGAGAACACAAGCCCAGCGAGAGATAGGTGTGGACGTGCACAGGCACACACACACACACACACACACACACACACACACACACACACACACCTAAAAAACACAGACAGGCATGATGCATAGATGCTACAGGCTATACAGACATATGCAGACAGTGAGACTGTGAAACTCACAGAGCTAAGTGCGGACACATAGGTGAAAGAATACGAAGGAATACATGTGCACACACGTAGAGACACAGGGAGCTGGTAATGTGGTGTGTGAAGACGCTGCCATGCAATCAACACTTAAATATGCATTTACTCACACACAAATGGCTTTTTGCACCTAGCTCTTACGCCAAGTGTGGTGGCATAAACAGTAACACATACATGCCATATGCTGTCTCTGGATTCACTGTCACAAAAAGACACATCCATCTTATGTTCCCGTCTGTGTTGCTTTATGTCTGCTGCTTTATCTGTATGTGTTGTGCAACACTGTGAAACAAGACAGAGATGCTGTGACTCAGACTTGACTGGACAGCATGCCTGGGAGAGTATAAGTGTGTGAATGTGTGTGTGGGGGTCTATTTTTTTTCCTTAGAAATTGATTTTTTTTTTTTTTTTTTTCATCCTTCATATGCTGTCTCCCTCTCTCTGTCCGGACATTTCTCTGGATTTTAATCTCAGTCTCTCTGCTCTCCCCCCTCCCCTCCAGCTCACTTGGTATGTTACTTTGTTTGTCCTCTCTGCCACTGTACCGGTTCCTCTTAAACACTTGTCACCCGTAACAAAAACAAGCTGCGATGTTCCCGTTGCAAGACCACAAAAGCATACAAATAAACACACGTACAATACACAGTGCACAAAGACAGAAAGGGGGGAAGATAACTTAGGGACATGCACCGTCTGTGGCACATTCTGCTGCAAAACAAAAAAGGCTTTAGAGAAATTCATCTTCTGTCTTTTGAGCGAGTGCAAAGGAGTGCAAAAGGCTCTCCACTGTATATACATCTCTTGAAAAGAAGCATCTGTTGTGGGTTTGGTTCAAACAGGGAGGCTTTTTTTTTTTTTTTTAGTTCCTATGCCATTCTGCATGGGACCAGTGGGAGCATTGCTACTGCATTGTAGCTCAACAAGGGGGAGGGGGCAGAGGGAGGCAAAGGAAGATGGACAGATAACAGGAGGGAAGGAGGAAAGGGAAAGAGGGCACAACAGGCTATGGGGGGGGTTGTCCTACTGATTGTTGCAGCTGATGTGGCTAGTGTGTCTGGCTTCATTAGTGCTTAGTTACTTGGAAGTAAAGGACGGGGAGAATAAGGAGGGTGGGTGACTTCGAACAGCTGGGGTGGAATCTCCCTGCAAGTGCACTGGGGTAAAAACTAAATATAAAAAATGGGGGCCCACCTTTCAAAACACAAGGACCAAGTCAGAGGGCCACACAAAGGCGAGGGGAGGAGTACTGGCGGTCTTTGAAGTATAGCTGAGGAGGGGTCAAGACTCTTTTTGCTCCTCTTTAGGCCATTGTGGAGACCACATGGGAAAGCAAGATGAGGCTGTCACTAGCACTTTGTGTGTGGTAGATTTGGGTGCCTGGATGTGCAACGGGTCAACGCCAGGAAATATTTCTGTTTTTAAAAGGCTGCTTCATGAGGAAACTGACGCTTTTCACATGTTTTAAGTGCACTGAGGCAAGAGGAAAGGAACATCTGTGACTGTGCGGGTCAGTGGAACTGGATTGCAGTGTATCTTTTTTGGCTCGCTAAAAAGCGCATCCTGTTGAATGCTAAAACACGACCTGGTGAGTGATTTGCTGATGAAGATGTACAGGACTGTTCAACTTTAAAGACGCAAGCAGGCATACTGCATGGAGAGGCGCAAATGTGCACATGCACACACCCACCCACCCACCCACCCACCCACCCACTATCTCCGTCTCCTTGGAGATGGCAACATCTTCATAGACACACAAATACTCACCCCGGTCTCAGGGTGTGCAGTCCAGGCTAATTCTGTAGTAGCCCACTTCGTGTCCATCAACGTCTCTGTAAATGGAAACAGAAAGAAGACAACCAGGTTAGACAAAGAGAAACGGATTGACAGAGGAGATGATTAGTCAACTCTCCAAACTTTTACAACAATGTCATATAACGTGTTACGTGGTCTGAGGAGCAGATAAGAGGCTTTGATGAAAGTTGTTCTCAGATAACGGGATGAATAAGTCAGTGACAGAAATCGCGGGCTTGGAGCGATATTAGATTAAATTAGACAAAAAAAGTAGTGTGTGTGTGTGTGTGTGTGTGCATGAGTATGTGTGAGACAAAGATCTAGGTGGGTAATCAGTGAAGAATAGTGTGACATTTTATTGCGGCTCCTTGTCTGAGTAATTAGTCTCTATTAGACGTTTGCTTTTATACAGTGGAAAGGAAACAACGGTGAGTCTCACTGAGAAACGGTTCCGCTTCCCACAGGGCGCTGTGACACACACATACACACACACTTGGTAACACACCTACACACACATACAGTGAGTAACAGGTTGTAAAGCTCCAAAAGATATATAACCCAACAGAAGGCTTTAATGGAGAGGGGGGTACTAAAGTTAGGTGTCACAAAAGAGGCGCTCTTGAGCGTAACAGGGGTCAATACGCTTGAATTGGATTCACTTTCTGTCAATACTTGATTACATACACCCTTGACGTTTATTTGTACACCTATGTCTTGGCACACACAGAGTAACGCACACACCTCACACGCTTAATACACACAAAAAACGCACAAAATGGTGGACCTGGATCTCTCCTGCAAATCCCTTTCCTCCTATCCACTTTCCACTCTCTTGTTTCTACTGGCAAAGACCCTGGCTTTGTGAGAGCAGAGAAGGAAGACTGTAAATGTCGAGTCTTTTACTACCTGGCGCTCAAGGCGCAGTGTGCAGCCACCGTTATTATCTCAACCACTGTGCTGTTCTACAAGATAGTAAAAGATGATGAAACGGCACTGCCAGAAAGTGAGCTTACACTGTCCCTGGTCATGGAGGGGAGTGTGAGATGTTCCACTTTGGCTGCCTCAGTTACAGGGGATGAACCTGAAGAAGTCTTTCAGCCCACTTTGCTATTCTACCACCATCTCTCAGTTGTTCTCTGCCTCTGTCTCCCCCTTTCATCTTCGTAGTTCTTTTTTCTTTCTCTTTCACTGGGTAAGCTGACAGGAAATGGCACTTGGGAGCAAAATAAAAGAGTATAACCCCAGGATTTCACCATCCCTTCTCCAAATGCCTGCTGCCACCACTGCTGCATTCAGGAGCACCAGCAGTGACAAACGCAAACACCCTCGAACTCAGAGGCTCTGTGGAGGCATGCTCCTTCAACTGGGAATTCCCACTGAATTCCACCCCCACATGCTTTGAATGACAGTGTCTCTGACATGTGCAAGTGCCTATTACACTGGTAAAAACATATGACTTCCAAGAGAGTTCCAGCCAAAGTGACACATCTTCCCTTACAAAAAGAAAAAAAAACAGAAAAAAAAGAAAATACTCATACAATCAGATTTCAAATGTAGCTTTGGCTTGTTCCCCGCAGGCGAAATGGTCTGGAAGCTTCACTGTGAGCCAGTTCACACAGAGAGAACTGTCTCTCTGGGAGTGGCTCTGGGAACTGAAGTGAATATCATGCACTCACAGCACAGGGTCAAATCTGGCTCACAACCTTTGTCACAAATGATCTTCTCTCTCTCTTTCTCCGTCGTTCCACTCAGTCTCCAATGTTCTCTCTGTGCCGATAGAGGAAATGCCTTAAAACAAATCATGACTGCAGTCTGCTTTTGCCGAGAGCATAAGCAATGAGGCACATTTGTCACTTGAGCAAATAAAGGTCTACTAGTGTTTTCATCTTAGAAACTGTGTCAGTGCATATTAGCTGCAGGATTTCCCCTGACTCACACAGTGACAGTGTGTGATTTGGGACCTGTTACTGTCAGCTACGCAGGTAAGTAAGCCGGTGTAGTGGAAATGATACACCTACACTGCCTGGTGTTTATTATTATGACTAGACCTTTGTGTGTGGTACGCTGGCTTGTCATTAGCGCTGACCTTGCTGAAAATGGCAACATGGTGAAACACAATGACAAACAGGGGGATTCAAAGAGGGGGGAGGCGTGGGGGAGTGGGAGAGACGGAGACGAGAGAGAAAGAACCAGAGTTGGAGAGCAGATAGAGAGATATGCAAAACACACACAAACACGCGCACCTGTGCAATTTGACTCAGTGGTTTGGACGGTGGATCATTCGGGATTGCGTGTGCAGCAGTAACCCTTCCCACCTCGATGCATCTGCATTGTTTAACCTTGCCGGGCCTGTGCTTGTGTGTGTTTGAATGTGTGTGAGTGTGTGTAAATGCGTGTGTGTGTGTTTGGTGCAAAGCCCTGTATTGTGCCCAAAGTGGAGCACCAATCCTGAGTCAATGGGCCAGAGCAAAAGCACTGAATGACCCCAACCTTTTATGGCCACTCCCTCTCAGTCAGTGTGTATGTGTGTGTGTGTGCGTGTGTGGGTGGCTGTATTGTACGTGTGTCTGTGGACACTGCGTTTGTGTGTGTGTGAATAACACATCAGGCAATGGAAGCGCACTGCAATATTCATGACTGTACAGCAAATTCAGACACCTGCCCCGTCACAGAAAATAAAGGAAACAAAACAAACCAGAAAATAAAGTGCTATATGTCCACAGCCGAATCAACTGTTTTAGTCTGTCAAACCGACAGTCTTGTGCTATATGAATGATAAAGTATGAGACAGAGGCAAATTAAAGAGAGAGAGTTATTTTTCTAATAGGAAATAACCTCTGAAAGCTTCTAAGACCATGCTGGCGGCTTGCCTAATGGGCCTGGCTGAGAGAAAGAAAAAGACAGAAAGAAAACCAGAAGGACGAGTTGAGGGAGAGATCAGTAGTGTGTAAACTATAGGACACTTTCCCCGTGCACAGAAAGTGCTCTTGTTTGCCTTATAGCCCTAGAAGTTTCACTTCACTTTTTCAAACCCTGGAAGTGTAAAACGAGAAAATGAAAAGTTGTAGGTTGGACGGGTGGGAAAAAAAAACAAAGAGCAAATAGAGTAAATCAGGCAAATGAACATGCAAATTTACTGCCGTAAAACTCTCTCTCACACACACACACACACACACACTGAGGGAGAGTGAAGCACGCAGATGTGGGAGGTAGCGCTGTGGATCAGCATACACAGATTCACAAGGCTGTTTAATCCATCTTCTTTGCGTGCACTCTCACTTTTTTTTTTCTCATTCATTTTCAATCTCTTTCTCATCATTCCTGTGAAACGATAGATCTAATTCCCTGCTGTTTTCCTCTCTCCCACTCTTTCGCTTGGTCTACCCCTTATTTTTTATCCCACACTTTCTCTAACTACTTTCTCTGTCTCTCCTCACTCTACTCGGAAGTGATAGCGCTGACCTCTATTCGTTTGTCTTTTCCCTCTTTCTCTTCCATCTTCCTTTTCTTGCCAATCTCTATATCTGCGCTTGTGTTTTCATGCTGCGCTGTGATGGATGTGACGTGCGGTGTACAGGGGAATGTTTTTCAACCACCTACTGCTTATGAAGACTATTCAATTAGCAAGTCACTGTTTGAGTAACCTGGGGACTGCTTTAGTAAAGTGTTATTTATGATAGAGGTCAAATGCACCTGGGATTAACGAAACAAACATGGGGGAAAAAATGGCAGCGACATTTGTTTTGCTCTGCGCGCTCTGATTGTGTGAGAAAAACTGCAGAAATACAAACAGGCTTGGAGAGATCATATGCAGGCAAATACACATGTACACGCTCATACACACACACACACACACACACACACACACACACGCATGCACGCAAAGCCAACCCCAACACTCTAATCCCGTAATGACAGGGCAGGCCTAATAACAGGGGAGGGCACTGAAGCATTCGTCCCTATGGCCGCATCCAATACACACACACACACAAACACACACAAAGACACACAGCACCAAGAGTTACAAGCCTCTTAAAATATTTCTTTGTTCAAACAAGCAGACTTCCTAAAAGAGAGAAAAAAGAGACGGACCGAAGGAGGAAAGGAGAAGAAAGGCTATGGTTGTTTCACGGGGGCTAATTCCCCAGGTCGCAAGGAGCAGACAGGTGAGGGATTTAGCTTGGATCTTGCCTCGACTACTTTGAGCTTTTTAGCATGCTTGTCTTTGTTAGCGTGACCCTGTCAGATGACAACTGAAAGATAACTGAACCGGAACCCTGGGGGATGCTAAAAGATGCGTCTCGACAACCTTGGAGAAATGAGTGTCACAGACGCCAAGACGCACAAAAATGTTTGAAATGTCAACCGGAAGCTTTTTGTTGACGTAATAGCTCCCTGTGTTAGCTTGATTTCCTGCTATGAGTGCCAAACAAAATGGCTGCTGTATTAATGAAACATGATGACAGCAGGATTTTGTATTCAGCCAGAAAAAGTAATGAGGAAAAGAAAAAATTCAAAACCCCTAATGACTCCTTCCCTGAAAATCCTTCCCTTCAGGCTTCTTCACTAGTTAATTATCTTCTCCCCACCTCTTCTCTGAGTAGCTTTTGTTGTGCTCTCCTACAGTCAAACAGACCAAGCACATGGCAACCTGGCATGGGGTAGCCACTCCATTAAAATACTATACCGTCTGGTTGCCAAACACTTGAGCCTCTGTTTAGCCACAGAAACAGTGAAATGTGTCAACACTGAGAGCGAGGACCCCACGCTCAAGTTATTAGCGCTATTAGCCTGATTGCTTTGTGCGCTATCTTTGTTGCCTCCGCTTTTGTCATCCAATGTGAAGCCGAGGCAGAGAAAGAGGAAGAGAAACACAGAAAAAGAGAGCAGGAGGAGAGATGCCATTCACATTCAAATTGTCCGAGCAGCCTTTTTGCCTTTGTGCGGGGCCAGAGTGCGATGATTAGGAGAAGCCCCCTCCATTTCATGGCGAGACCTCCCCTCCAGCACCCACACACAAACACTCACAGTCACGGTA